ACAGATGTCTGTCTGTCTGTCTGTCCTCAGTGTGTGTCTGTCTGAGTGGCTCTCTGATGGCTTCGACGCGCTGATGGCGATGATATGTGCTGAAGGGAGAGAGATCGGCCGATGAGCCGACGGACGGGCTGACTGAACTGAACTGAATCCCTCACTATGTCGCCTTTTGGTCGTATGTGCGTCGATCTCACTGTGTTGTGTTGTGGGGCTTTGCGTGTCGGTCGGTCTGGCTGCCGTTGTCATGGCTTCGGCCGTCTGCTGCCATGAGTGTGTCGGCCGATGGGTGGGGGGCGGGGGAGAGATGACAGACAGACAGAGAGGGAGGATTGGCTGGCTGGCTGCACAAAGGAATCGCTGTGGGGTGGCGGTGGCCGTCTGTCTGTCTGTTGGTCGGGCTTGTATGACGACTGCTCGCGAGAGTGTGTTGATCTCTCGTCGATGCATCCGTCACACACGGCCGGCTCACAGACAGACAGACAGACAGACACACCCTGATCTGCCTGACAGAGAGAGAGAGGGAGAGAGGGAGGCCTGAGAAAGAAAGTCGTGTTTTGGTTTTCTTGGCGTGTGTATCCTCCCCTCTCTCTCTCTGTGGGCATCTCTGATGTCGGTCAGGAACCTGAGAGCGTCAGCCCATGAAGGGTATTGGTGCTTTAGGGTTGCCGGGCGGTGACAGAGATGCACACAGAGGGGCGGGCGAGGGAATGGACACACACACATACACACACACACACACGAGTGGATGGACCGATGTGCGCCTCTCTATTGTGTATTGTGACATGGGATGTGTCTGCCCGACGCGCCGGTGAGTTTTTGGACGGCGGGGGGAGAGAGTGAGGGGGATGGGATGGAGACGTCTGTTTGGTGCTGCTGTGGTGTGAGGTTTGTGGGAGGTGTGCTGGCTGTTTGCTGTGGGATGGAGAGAGGGTGTGTGTTCGTGTGCTGATGTTTCTTCCGTACGCAGGACACCTGACACAGTGACTGCTGATCATTGCTCTCTGAGTGCGGTGGGCATCGAGCAGCTGACAGACAGACCTACACACACACACACACTTAAGTGCTTTTGGCGTGTTGACTTGTTCGATATCATGCCTTGGGTGCATAGCTGCACGCTGACGGTGTTGTTTTCTTACTGCATGATGCCCGTGCTGTGTATACGTATCTCACTCGCTGTCTGTTGGACACATACAGGTCTGTGTGTACAGTTCGTGTCTCTACTGACGACATGACTGGCAAGCTATCGGCTTCTCTCTCAGCATATCTCTCTTGATGTCAGCTTGACGGACATTCATTCAGATGAACGAACCATGTCAGAGATCCCATCAATGGAATTGCGTCTAGAAACTGCCGGTCATGCATTCAGCCAGCCCGCCAGCCACAGAAGATGCATCCATCCCATTTGCAAATGATGGAGTCAGGTACACATACACGGACAACACAGAGAGAATGTCGCTCGCAGAGAGATGAAATGGAAAGACGGCCGAGCGAAAACTCACTCCATGTCACTCTTATCGGGCAGGCAGGCAGGCAGACAGGGAGGCAGATACACAAACGCCGAAAAACGGAGACACACACACGCAGCACGGGAGAGGCGACATTCAGCGCGGAAACTGTCTGCCATCCATCCATCCACATGGAGCCAAACGTACATAAACAGACACCGAACACAGACCTTTGCGGAGAGATATCTGGCGATAGGGGGTGGGTGAGCACAAAACCCACTCCTGTGCGTCATCTGACTCACAGCAGGCAGCTACCTGGTCACGCAGACACGTGCATGCAGCCACGACAGCCACGACACAATCGCTCTCGTACATAGGGGCTGCTCAGTGCGGCTGTTCTTGCTAGGCTGCCTCTCCCTCCTCTCCCTGGCCATCCTCGCCACGGCTCTCCTAAATGAATCACACCATCAGGATCAAAACTGGCTGTTATGTGTGTGAGGTCTGTGTACCCGGCTCCTGAGCGTGCCGATTTCCTCCCGGAGCCGCTGAATCTCGGCCTCCAAACGATGCCGCTCCGCAGCTTCCTGCACACACAGCAGCCACACAGACACTGACAGACCGATCAGTGGAGCTGGCTGTAGCAGTCTGACTGACCTTTTTGCGTGTTGACTCTCTTTCGATGAGATGGTCATAGAGCTGGTCGAAGGCCTCCTCATCCTGTGCATCGACTGCCTTCTTCAGGGCGCTTTTGAAGGCCGTCTGGATGGCTGATGGGAGGAGGGGCACCACGGGCAGGACGGCAGGTACGTGACTGATGTCAAAGAAGTCAGACTGCAGCGCGGATGAGACTTGATCAACACGATATTGGGACAGGCCCTCGATGGCCGCCAGCCTGAGCATCAGCAGGCACACGCACTGAAGTGACCTACCTTCCTGTGTGGCTGATCCCGTCGCTGACACGTACCTTTTGCTTGAGAGTGTTTCCTTCAAACCGTCCTTTCTGTCCAGCGACGGCGATGCTGTATCGTGGCCTTCTTTGTTGCCACCAGGTGGCTGCTCCGCGCGATGAGCAGCAGAGCGAGCAGGAGGCCTGTTCGACAGGCCATTGCACTCGACACCCACCTCGTGAGGTAAACGACAGGGCTGCAAACCCAGCAGCAAAGAGAGTACGAGCGCCACCGGAACAGCCGCGACAACTGGCGGTAACGACGCCGGACGCTGCCGATAGGCACGCCTCGCTATGCACCATTGCTCGTGGAGCCAGGCCAGGCTGTCGGACATCTTCGCAAACAGGGAATGGCAGAAGCACAGGATCCCTTGTGCTGCTGAGACCAGCGACTGGGGAAGGCGAAGAAGGGTCACAAAGATGCGCAAGATTCGAGATGGGAAAGAGCAGTGTCCGTGAAAGAAGAAGTTTGAGGAGAAAGAAACGTGCTTCGGCGCGTGATGAGCTGGAAAATACATCCTGGATATCGCCGCACTCAGCCACGACATTGCACTCAGAGGCGATGAGTCAATCAGTGGCTAGTCGTTGCTCGGCTCGGCCCTTTGGGCCTCGCCTTCGCCCACACTGATGAATATATCCATCCACTTGAACACCCCAGGTCAGCTTATACCGTGTGTGTGTCCATCGACTGACTGGGCACTCTCACACTTGCTCCGGCAACTTCCCTGCACGCACACACACACACACACACACACAGACAGAGAGAGAGAGAGAGCGGGAGGCACGGCCAAAGCACACAGGGGAATGAAGACGGCTTGCTGTGCTGTGCTGTGTGTTGTGTGTTTCAGAGGGCCAGGTGAGGCCGATGTGCTCTTTCTGTCGGGCCCACCACTTCGCGAGCCTATCATCCAGCCATCGCCGTACGCACCAACCACTACCCATACAACGACGAGAGCATCAACCAAGGACGGTGTCTGTCTGTCTCTGTGCAGGGACATTGTGTGCGGGTCGATGGACCAGGCGCGTGAATGAAGACAAGTGCAGGCCCATGTCTGTGCGGATGGGCGAGACGGCCGTGTGTGTGTGTGCATCAGGCGGATTCGCGAGCTGTACCGGGAGTATTTTGGTAGAGGCCGTGTGTATGTAGTCCTAGCTAGGCTGGTAAGTGCAGTAAGGATCATGTGGCAACCAATAACGGAACTACCTACCGTGCAGCAGAGAGTGAGAAGTGTAGGTATTGCCAGTAGCATTGTGGCGACTTCCATCTGGCTGTGTGAATGGCATTCGTTGAGTTGTCTGTCTGGCCACAACACACACAGCGTGTCTCGCCATCGGTACGTACATGCGGGGCGATTTGTTCACTTGGGCTCGTGAATGGGCTCGAGGTAAGTCACACCTACCATCCATATCAATATCTCCCTGTATGCATGCATATCGATGGCATGATCGAATTGTATGTACATACATACATACAAAGGCGGAATTAAGTGAGTGAGTGATTGACTGAGTGGCTGATTGCAGGGGAGGCGCATGACGCCCCTGCAGCTACTGTCGCTGGCTGTTCTTCTGTTGGACTCACTCACTCAATCTGAGCGAGCACTGTATGTGTGTCTCTCTTTCACTCGCTCAGATTACGAAGCTGCTAGGCGTTTTACGCCTGGTCTCGAGATAGTCGTGCACCCTGAAGGCTACACGGGCCAGATCTTCAATGTTGAAGGTGACAAGAGGTGAAGGCATCGTGAACACCTGTGTACGTTTGTGTGTGCATGCAGCGTTTCCGTTTGTACCGCCGTTCCACGGTCATGTGCTGGCGGAGTTGCACTACAGTACACACAGCACACCACATGACATGACATGACATCACATCACATCGCATCACATCACATGATTTCGTGCCTCCTTCGTTCAGCGCATATCTGGGTTGAGCCGACTCCACCACCCCAACAACAGGGACCAGTTCCCGACACGCAAATGACCGACGCAGCCGAGCACGGCCACACAGACACGCAGCCCGGTGCTCAGGAGATGGACACGGCCGCCACGCAGCCAGGTGCTCAGGAGCGCGGCCACACAGCCACGCTGCCCGGCACAGCCACGCCGCCACTCTTCAATGTGGAAGGCGAGCAGCACACACACACACACACACACTCACACACACGCACCACGTGTGTGTCGCTCGTGTGGTGCGCTGGCTTCAGTGGTGCGGATTTTCCCAATTTTGACGGACGCCGAACTCCGAGGTCATTCACAAAAGGCACAAAACTCACAAGCGACGGTCACACTTCGTGCATGTCAGGTTTGGCCCGTGATGCGTTCGACCAGAACAATCGAAGGGGCAACACCGAAGTACACAATAGCGAAGTCCCATTCCCACATACATCGGTGTGTGTGTTTTGTGTGAGTGTGTTAGGAGGCGGCAGTCCAGGCCGGGACAGACATTTGGGAAGCGCGCCGGATGTTCACGAGCGCCGAAAGGTTCGCAATCTGGCTCCGATCCATCGTCAGGCTGGTCAAGTAAGTGAGGAAGGAAAGAAGAGACAGACAGACTGTGTATTCCCATGTGCAGCAACGAATTGCGGAATGGCACGTGGTCGAAGCGGCGCGGGCTGGGGCTGTTCAACTTCGAGGCCAAGAGGCTCCTCCTCATTCTCGGGATAACAAAGGGCTGCAAACCATACTTTCCCGGTGATCTCGTGAAATCCTACAGTGATGCAGACAAGTCTCATGATGCATGCCTGTGTGTATCATACTAGATTTTGAGTGGGATGACGAGGATCCCGATGAGGATGACGAGAGCTGGGGCGGCCCCGCACACCAGCAGCAGCCAGCACTAGCTACACCAGCAGCAGCCAGCACTAGCGCCTCGCAGAAAGCACAGAAGGCAAGCGAACTGAAAGAAATTGCAGTGACATCCTGTGTGTGTGTGTACGATCAGGATGCCGTGACGGAGTCCCCTGCTGCTGGTGGTGCTGCTGGGCCCGCCCAGCCACTTCACACCTATGGCCAACAAGATGCACACGGCAGACACAGACGCGGCCATCGATCACACACAGGTAAGAGCGGACAAACAAGAGACACATGGGAAGATGCACTTGTTGGCCCTTGGCACTACTTGTTGGTGTGTACAGCGTTCGGTGTCAGTGTATGAGCGTCGTGCTGAGACTGTGGTGGTGACGAGCATCCTCGCGACCATGCCCACCAGACCCACTGTGGCTGAGCTCATCGAATACGGCAAGACAGGTGATTCACACACACACACACACAAAGAAGGGGAAACTGGCTGTTTATTTGGATGGATGGATGGATGTGTGCAGTCGAGTGTGAGATGGATGTGTGCAGTCGCGGACGGAGAGGAAGAGCGAGAGGGCGAGCAGACGGCGGCCAAGAAGCGCAGCACTCACACCGCCAAGATACACACGCAGGTACGTATGAAAGAGACACGACAGCAGCACATATGCGTTGGTTGGTTGGTTGGTTGACTGGATGTGCAGGCTTTGGTGTCAGCGGTGGTGCCGACGATGTCCGGCAAGATGTCACAAGTGCGTGCGTTCGCCGACAAACACACCGCATGTGGATGATGTGTGTGTTATGTGTTATTCTTCTACCAGATGAAGGCACTGGCCATCACTGGCAGTGCACAGTAGAGACGAGATGCTGACAGAGATAGACAGACAGACAGACACGGAGAGCTGTTCGAATTCGCGTCTGAAAGAACGGCTTTTTTTTTGAAAGAAAGTGGGTTGCGTTTTGATGTGTGAATGCATGTGGATTCACGTGAAATGGACGTGCGAAGGAAGTTCAACACACGACCGGCAAAAGTGTGTCGTCCATCAAGACAAACAGACAGACAGACATCACACACACAGTGGCTGTCAGTGCGTCTGACTTGGCTGGCTGGCACATCCCAAGCTCACGCGGTGACCACAGCTTAAAGGTTGTATGTCGGCCAGTCCGGCAGCCAGCCGCAAGGCCCGCTCATCAAAGTTCACGCGTGCACCAAAGAATGGTACGTTCCGCGTGAACTGACAAACACTGCAACAAAAACCCTCACCTTAAGAGGACAGGCAGCCGCATGTACAACAGAGCAGGCACGGTGCTCATCCATTCCGACAGGCATTCGATGGTCTCACACGCAACAGGCAGCTGGCATTCTCGCACCACTTCCCCTCTCTCTCTCGTCCCTCCCGTCACCACACCACAACACGTCGACCAACAACACCACCACTCCTCACCATCTCTCCCCTCCTCGCGCATACACTCGCCCCCGGCCGCCTCCACTATTAATACGTCGATCCCTCAATCAATCCATCATCGTGGCGGTCGGGTGGGTGACACAGATGTCCATAATCGAAAAGCGCTCATTCATTAAGGCATGTTCACGAGTTGTCACCACACGAGAATGACTCTACCCGTCATCTATCTTTGTCACACCAGCGAGAGGTCATCCACTACTGCAATACCACCCACATACACCAAAACCGTCCTCCCTGTGCTGTGCTGCGCTAAGAGGGGGACGCTTCGCATGCCCACAACCAGCAGGCGAGCAGCGCACACACGACACCCAGGTATGGGCAGAATGACATACCGACAAAAGAGACGCTGGCCGTCCGTGTCTGAGGCGGTCTGAGGCTCCGACGGACACCGTCGCCTATGTCCTTAATAATTTTGTGTGGGTAGGGTTAGGCTAGGCTGGGCTGACTGGCACGAGGCATGTATGGGTGCGTCAGGCGCTGGCAAGGGCACAACGTACGTGCACGACACCGCCATTTCCCTCACATACGCGACAGGCAGCCGACAAGAAAAAGGCACACCAATCCATGAGACCCCCATGACACGACAGACCCGCCTCCCGTCCATCCAGCCAGCAGAAAAGTTCCCTCCCCCTGTGTCCCACGCCCAGCCACCCTCTGCCATTCGTGTGCGGTGCGTAGCTGACACCACCGCCCTCCCTCGGCAGCGGGGCGCTCTCCTCCGATGAAGTGGCCACCGAGGCGGACGTCCACAATTGCGCAGCCCGACGATGCCGTGTGTGTGGCGCTGCCCGAGGCACGACGGCCGACCGAATTGAGCCCCTCCAGGAGCTTACGAGGGACGCAGAGCAGCTGGCTCTTGATGAAGCCCTCGAGAAGTGCCATGCGGTCACCGTTGCCGGTGGTCGGTGCTGGTGGCTGTGCCTGGCCAGCGGCAGCTGCTGCTGCTGGGACGAGACGGAACGGGTGCGGCAACCTTCTGCTGCTGCAACTGCGGTCCGGGTGGTGGATGGATGACGCCGGCGTCTCTGGGCACCTCACGCGGCGACACCTTGGGCAGCACGACCGGCCTGACACACACGAGAGAGAAACAAAGCGGCAGAGAGACGGTTCATGGGACCACGGTCTGGATGAGTGTGCGTGTCTATGTGTCTGACTCACTCGAAGCCTTCGATTTCTTGCTGTGGGTCCAGTGTGGGATTGGTAATTGTTTGGGGAGCTCCTGAGCCGACAGGGGGTGCTCCTGAATGCCGTACGATGGCGGGGCGGCCGCCACAGCAGCTCCCTGGATGATGATCTGCTTCTGCTGCTGTGGCGCAGGCTCACGGACGCCACTAAGGATTGAGTGAGCAATCTATCTGACCACACACACACACACACACATGCACATCACATGCACATCACATGCAGACATGGGTTGGGTGCACCCCGTGTGTGGTCTTGTTCTCACTTGGTCATGCAGTGAGGGAAGGACACATCGACCACCCCCCACGCGCTAGTGCCGTGGGCTGGGCATAGTGGGGGGTCTGTTGGGTTGACTTCGCCCCCACGTTGCGCACTCCATAACAGCGAGACCAACGGGTCTGCCGCTTCGTGGTCGCTGATCTGAGTGTGCCGCGCACACACAGACAGACAGACAGACAGACGGACGGACAGACAAAGGTAATTGTCATCCAGCGGGAAGGTGCGCGTGTGCATCGTGCAGGTGGATCACTCACCGGCATGAATATGGGTTCTTCGGCGTTGTAGCGGATGCGGACGCATGGGTGTTGTAGTCCCGGCCGGCCATGACGGGCACGTGCACGCTGGTCGTCCCAGCACCGCAATTGCCACTGCAGCGACCCAACGAAGCCCATCGTGACTCCCAGGGCCCGTCCGTTGCACGTGGACAGTGTACTCAAGCTGAGCCGTCAGGGGGATGCCCTGGCCGAGTGTCAGGGTGAGACCGAGCCCGCTCAGAGGGATGGCCAGCGGCTGCATGGCTTGGCCTGCCACGGACGGCTGGCCCGTCCGTGTGAGCAGCAGCGTGCCCCCCTAGTTGTTCGAGGGCTGCGTGACCACGACTGCAACCTGCAGCTGCACCGAATGCCGATCGTCGACCACCGTGACGTCGACGCCCGCCGACCCCGATACCCGACAGATGATGCATACGCCACCTGTGCCGCTGTGCCCTGGAAGGCCGGTACTCCGCTGTGGTCGGGCTGACAGGGGCTGACGGTGCGAGAGCAACCGTTCCGTCGCCCGTGACACGGACCTCCGCCTCCAGCCTGTCGACACCCCCGCCACCCATGCCGTCGTCGGCAAATGTGATGGACGCCTTGCTGCCGATAGACACAGTCCTGCCTGCCGAGACGAACACCACTGGATGGGCGGCGGTGAGGGTGGGCGGCTGGTTGACAGCTGTGAGCGTGACGGAGAGGGCTGCTTCGTTGCTGCCGGGTGAGCGGAACAGTACTCGAGCTGTGGACGATGGCGAGGGCGAGAGTGTGGGTGGTGCTGCGATTGTGAGGTCACTGAGGCAGTCGCGGAGGGAGAGGGACGCTCCTGCCGTGATGGTGAGGGCGGTGGGGTGGGAGACTTGGCTGCTCAGCAGAGAGAGGCGCTCTGGAAAAAGGCAAGGATACACACAGGTGTCTATGTCCGATGGGTATGCCCGTGTGCTCGCGTACCTGAGCCAGTTGCAGTGACGGCAACGGTGCAGAGAGACGGTAGCGGCGTGACAAAGACCAGCCCGCCGTCCAGCCACACATCCATCGACGCACTCGAATGCCCCGGCAGCTCCGCCGCGTTGACCAGCTAATCTTCATAGTCCACAGACGTCACGCCGACCACACCCGCCAAAGACGGCTCCCAACCGATCTTTCTCGACGCTTCTGGCGGGGCCAGCAGGATGGTCGGCTGCAGCGGGTCCTTTGCCGACGTCACGTGGATCCACACAGAGTGGTCGAGCGTCACGGGGTCAGTGGAGCGTCGATGAGCCGGCACACGCGCCTGCCAGCACCACCACCCCCTGCCCAGCCCACGTGCTGCACAAGGTCGCTTCAATGGTGCCCTGATACGCCGTCAGCGTCACCACAACGTCATCCCCTTGTGTGAAGTCGTCGATGGCGATGCACGGGAGTGACAGGGGTGTGTCTTCCATGGTTGAGATGTCCTCCTGGGGGCTGGTAGGCGGCACCAAGACGACCTGGGGCTTGGCGGGTGAGTCGGGACGCACCCGAATGGGAGCGGAAAGAGATGATGAGGGGGTCGGGTTGCCCTCTGTCTCGTAGACGGGTCGTCTCCCTCGGGCGGGCCCATCTCCTTCCTCATCGAAAGGGGGGAAGGATTGGGCTGCCGGCGGGTCTCCATCTGCCGCGGCTGGCTGGTGCGGCCCGACGTGCCCGTGTCTGTGGATGAGGGCTTGATGAGGCTCTCCTGCTCCTCATCTGCTGCACTGGTGCTGGTGGTGGTTGTGTGCTTCTTGCCCGCTGCTGCCGCCCTCTTGCGATAGCCTGATGCGCGAAGGCGAAACGCCTCCTCCTGCACAGAGAGAGAGAGAGAGAGTGTGTGTGTTTTCGGTGGGCGCGAGAAGGTGTCTGGGAGAGGGGTTGGGCTCACCAGTTCTACGAGTCGCTTTGCGAGTTGGCGGAGTCGTCCGATCTCTGCCTGGAAGTGTTTGGAGAGTTTCTCGAATACGAACTTGAGCCGCTGCTTGTCGGCCGACACGTCCGGAATGTGTCCTCAGTGTGCTGCAGCCATGGCCACACACACACACACACACAAGACGCACACAGAGAGAGAGGGCATGCAGACAACGCCTGGGTGTGCTGTGCTCGTCCATGCCCACCTGTACAACACCATGATGGCCACCCCACCTCCACCTCCACAACCACCACCAGCACCGCCGCCTCTTGTGCGTACAGCCACGGCCCTCTCCTTGACGCTCAGCTGGTGGTCGAACTGCGTCAGATGTCCCTGGACCCGCTGAATGGCCTCACGGATGGACGACTCACACCCACCCACACCCACCAATCCATCCACTCGACTCAACACGCACCCATCCGCCCCTCCACCACGACGCCACCACGAACATAGAGAACAGACAGTAAAGGAAACAGCGACCTGAGGTGGCCGCACTAACACACACGCGACTTGTGATAGCCGCACTAACACAAAAGCGGTCTATGCTGGCGCGGTGGGAAAAAAGCAGCCTATGGTGGCACACCAGGCACGAATCGGCTTCGACACAAAGAAAGCGGCACTCGATGTGGGAAAAGAGCCACATATGGTGCACATGTCGACTCGTCTGCTCGTTGTAATGTTGGCCCTCCTCTCAGAAGGATGGTGTGCTGTAGTTCGTAGTCCTCGATCCCCCGAATGCCGTCCCCACCACTCCCTCCCTCATCCCTGGTAAAAGGAGAAGTTGAGCGACGAGCCGTCCATACGAATGGTCGCCTCTCCACCTGAGCCACATGCATACAGAGAGACAGGCAAACGCATCGCATGAGTGGCGTGTCCGGTTTGGTTCTGATCAGTCACCCCTTGGTTTCGGTGGCTTCCTTGACGGCGCGTCGCCGTTCTTCGTGGCACGCTTCAACCCTGCAAGGTACGAAAGACACGCATACCCATCCATTTCCATCACCTTCATCACCACCATACCCACACTGACCGGATATCATATCGGAGCGGTAGTCAGCCATCAGCCCCCTCAGCTCGTCAGCCGACTTGCCCGTCGCGTGCCCGACACAGACGTCGCGATACAGGTCGATGGTCCGCTGAGAGAGCGGCCTGCTGGTGGGCGTGAGGCACTCGTCCATCTTGATGGTCTCCGTGGTGGCCTTCATGTGCACCCGCTCCACCGCTGCCACATACTCGTCGGCAAGCTGCTGCCGGGACACCTCCCTCTCATCACGAGCAGCCTCCTCACACTTGCTCACGAGCTCCCTCATCTGCCTGCGCGCCTCGCGCTGAATGTCGGGGACGAGGTGGCAGCTGTCGAAAGCCAGCAGGAGGAGTGAGCACGCGACACTAATGAGGTCGGAGTCGAAGGTGATGGCCTCATCTTTGAACGCCCGGCCCTCCAGGATGGCCACGAGGTTGTGCAGCGACGTGCAAGGGGGGCCTGGACGTGTGGTGAGGGGCCGCTGATGCGTGGCGGTCATGTTGCGGCTGCTCTCATAGTCTATGATTGCAATCTCGCCGGTGGTCTCATCTAGCAGCACCACATTATCACCATGCAGGTCGTCGTGGCAGATGTCGGCCTTGTGCAGTGCGAGCACCGCCTCCACCAGGTTGACTGCAATGGTCAACTTCAGCAGGGGCTTGACCTGCTCGCAGTTGCGCCCGAAATCAAACAACGTGACGCCTGCACAACGGGCAACAGAGGCAGAGAGATGGAGAGATGGATGGATGGATGGATGGACCAGCTCTCGTAGGTCTGTCTGTTCTGTCTGTGTGTGTGCGTGGTGTGAAGGCCTCGGCTCACCGTCGCCAGCCTTAGTCATGATCACACATGTCCCAGTCCCAGGCAATCTCTCCCCCTGTTGTCACGATCGGCCGCAACGCATCCAAATCCTCCACCACCGCGAGCAGCTTGGGGGCGATGCTCGTTGTGCCCGTTGGTCTCGGTGCGTTGAGATTGTTGCGGCGGCGCTGCCTGACGCTTGCCCCCTCCTTCTCCATGGCCACGTTGACCTCCCCCAGTCTGGCCCCCTCCTCCTTGAGTGCGTCGCTGAGGTGCCTGGCCCGCTCCGCCCCCTCCCTCCTTTGGTCTCGAGTGATGTACTTGATGACGGCCTGATGGCTGTTGTCGCCCCGTCTGAAGACTCCCGTCATCAGCGAGAAACCTCCGCGGCCGCCCTCCAGCTCCTGCACGCACTCAAACGACGACCCGGTGTCGATGGTGAGCACAGTTCCGGGGGCGGTGGAGGGAGTGGTGTGCGTGGGTGGTGATGAAGAGGGCGTGGGAGGGGCGGGCACGTCTGGCGGGGCAGTTGCGGGGGAGTCGGGGGGTGGCGATGATCCATTGGCTGACGACGACACGCCTGAAGAGGAAGAAAGAAGAAGAGGCAGCCACTCATATGAATGAATGAATGCGCATCAGCTTCATGTATGTACTGTACATGCATACCATCAGCTTCGGCGCTCGTGTTGGGTGAGCCTTTCCCCTGGCTCGACGTGTCGAAGGTTTCTGACTGCTGGTGCTGCTGCTGATTGTGGGCCAAATCATGCCCTCCTGCCACCTCCTGCTGCTCCGTCCTCCCCTCTCCGTCCCTCTCCCTCTCGACGTGCCCCTGGTGGCTGGGCGGCAGGTCCTTCTCCCTCTCGACGTGCCCCTGGTGGCTGGGCGGCAGGTCCTTCTCAATGACATTCGACGCAGCTGGGGTGGCCCTCGGGATGGCGGCGATGTTTGGGCGGACGCCGATGGCGTGGCGCTGCGGTGCTGCTGCTGTCTGTGGGGCACGGTGGGGCGCCATGGCGGCGGCTGGTGAAACGAAACCCCAGCCAGGGGCATGCGCGGCCGACGCACCCGATGCAGCGATGGGAGGCGGCTGGTAGAAGTGCTGCTGCATCATGTGGGGCAGGGCCGGCATGGCTGGCAGCGCATACGCGCTGATGGGCGCCGCGGTCGCACCATACGGGTCCTGCAGAGCCCGAAGGCAAGGCGGACACACGTATGGGTTGACGCGCGTGCGCCAAGGGGGGCCACGAGTGTGCTGTGTGCGTGGCGGTTTCCGTGCTGGCGGTCTGCACCGCTTTTGAGCGGGATGCCGCTCGACTGGCCTGAGGGGCACAGGGGGAGGGGTCGGCCACATGCAGAAGGGGTGTTGCTGCGGGTGCTGATGCTGTTGATGCTGTGGAGACAGCTGCGGCGTGTTGAGGATGAGTGCCGCTCCGTGCTGTTGCTGATGCTGCTGCTGCAGAGGGTGTGCCGAGGGCATCGTCGCTGTCGTTGTGTGTGTGTTTTGAAAGAAGAAAGAGAGCTCGCAGATTAGCTCGCGATAGAGGGGGGGGGGGGG